TATCATTGTTGGAAAATTCAACCTCCAGTCCTTTATCGCCTTGAATGAAATATAGTGAAAACAACTTATATATCAAATGTAGCTTCCATTTCATTGTTTTATAATTACAGCCAGCCACATCTCTTGGTTTATTGTATTGGTCTTTGTATCCTTGATGATGGTCCTGGCTCTAACGATGTCTGTCACAAAGAACGGAAGTTTAGTGTGGAATAATCGAGATGACGGGACGGTGTTTAATGTACTCTAAAACTGACTACTCCCAGGCAATCCTTCTTCGGTTTCTGGGGCGGCCAATTTGCCGGTCCCCTTTGCCAACCTTTTATTTCAAGTGGAAAATCTATTCATTATATTGTTGTGGAATTTTTCGTAAATTAACTTTATTCATCCATACCTTTATGACTACTGCATATTTAGAAGTGTAAAGCTTTGGTTAGCATTAGATGTTTGTTAATTTTCACGATCTGTGCCAAGCTTGCTTGTGTGAGAATTTATGAATTGGCGACTCGAGCTCACGGCCCTATCCTGACGAAGTCTTGGCAGAATAGGGCAGTGCACCTGTTTAGCCTTTTGTCTAGGACTCAGCAGCAAGATGCATGAACATAACGTTTTATGTGAATACAATAGTGACACCCATTTACAGATTTTTAAGGATTCTGAGAAGTGAACTCATAGAATAGACAAAGGCCTGATTTATGACCTAAGGGTTTATCCTTGTGCACTTCTGCATCTATTTGAGGTGAATTGAAAAATGGAGTAATCAACAGATTAGGGTGCAAAGGGGATTGTCGCGTGTTCTGTTTGAAAAGGTAAGAATACACGAGTTAGCTGCAATTCTACCCGTGTGTTCGTAGGTATGGATTATGTGTGCTCAGTATGCGAGAACCATAGCCATAAGATTAAAGCCGCTTAATAAATGGAATGCCTTAAATTGTCGTTTTACAAGACTCTCTATTGGGCTCCTTATCACGATAAATTCCAGATGAATATAAGACGAGGTCACTATAGTTCACGCAAATCATCCTGATCTATCTACCCTAATGCTTTATCATTTGATTTTGATTTGCTATTTTTATTTTTCTTAAGAAATGCCAATGCTTGCTAAATTAAAATACCTCGATTTATTGGAATCCAGCGTTTTTACTGATTTTTATTAATTGTGGCCGATGATTAGACAATTTTTATTTTTATATATCTTAATTACCTTTGCATTTCCATGCATTTGACCTTATTTTATGTTTTGGGAGTGTTACTTAAAGCGACTTATAGATAACTAATTATGATAAGAATATGCCTCCTTTTAATGCCTATATTTCGGAATATGATGTCTTTTCTATGGGTCGGTTCTTTTTCGTTGACACTAAGGCCACATTTTTAAAGATTTTGCAATCACTCTTGCCATAGTAATTAATAAGGTTGCCCATGCATATCTTAGACACTGTCTTGTTTCTTAATATCCACGTTCTATTTTCGTAAATACTTTCCTAAGCTTAATTGGCTAATTCTCCATTCGATTTAGCTTTGTGGATTTCAATCTTCAGACATAGAGGCCTTCTATCTTTATTAACATCACTCACGAATACTTTCAATCCATGTTAGGCTACTGGACGTAATATTTAAGGCTAAGATAAGCCGCTACAATATTACATTAAATCAAATTAATATCTTAACAAGATCAACCGAATACGGATATTCTAAGAAATTCTATCTTCTATTCCGGCATGTAAATATTGATTTCTTCTTTACCTATGTAAAGAAGAAATGTTTCAAACTGCATGCAGGTTCGCAGATCCAAATTCATCTCAATAGGACTTGGAAATATCGGTTTGATCGTCAATTTTGAAAGCAAAGGAGCTATCCGAAGGAATGAAGACCAAGTTGGTGTGACCTTTTGTGTGGTCGCAGTCTTCCTTCGCTGTCTAGAATTTGTTTGACCTATTTTTCGCAACTTAGTCATATTAGTAAGGAGACATAGAGGAACACACCTAGTTCGGAGTGCATAGTATTAATGATAATTTCCACAGTCGGACGGTGGACGTGGTACATCTACCGGTAGTCTCGAAACCCTACTCACGACGTGGTACATTCCCAGACGCTTGCCGTCATCATAGTCGGCATCATCAGTCACTCTGCCATTCTTACCACCACACTAAAACTCGTCGAAGAGACAAGTGAAGCCGATACTTTGATCAAATGTGTGCTAAACAGTTATGCTATCTTTCCTGTCCTGGGCTAATCACAAATTCTATATCCTCGTTTCACGCCTTTGTTATTACAATTTTTTCCTTGCTTATTTTAAGGTAGTGTGATGCGCCCTTTTGAACGGCTTTCATGAGAACCCTCCACACTCCACTCTGGCGTTCTCACGACCCTTCACCCTTGTGCTAGAAATGTTGATCAGTCTGCCATATTGTTACGCAGTTTTCCTTCCTTAGGTCTTATCAGAGTCTTCCTCTTGCTCCTTAGGATCCGTCTGCTATCTCCCTGGTTCAAGTATTTCACTCGATCTCTGCCACCCTATCTGTGCTCCACGAGGCATTATTTCCTACACTGATTCTGGTAGACTAACTTGGGGCTAAAGCCTCTGAGTAATTCTCATGTCTAAGCCTTTGATTCATGGACCATCTATATAGTAAAAAAGGCCTACTGTCAGGCAACTAGCTCTAATCTCCGCCGCGTCTATTCTGTTTCTATCCCTAATATCAATTCTCTGACTTGCTATCTTTTAGTCTCTTCTGTGTCAATCCACAAATGTTGTGGTACTGCTTGCTTTGATTAGGTTCACTGTTGAACCACAACATTTGTGGGTTGGCACACAAGGCTGTTTAGCACAGATTTGGTCAGAGAATGGGCTTCACTTGTCTCTTTGATGATTTCTAGTTTGGTGCTAAGAATGGCAGACTCACTGACGATGCCGGCGAACGTCTGGGAATGTACCACGGCTACGGTCCGACTCTGGAAATAATCATTCATACTATGCACTTCGGACTAGGTGCGTTCTCTAACTCTTTCTACTAATATGACCAAGTTACGAAAACAAGGTAAAAAAACGTCTATACAGAGAAATTATTCCTTCCAAGGGACTAAAAAACATTCGCCTACATATTCTTGCTGATAGCATAAAACTGTAAAATTCATATATTTTCGAAATTTTTAAATATATTCGCAATTACTTATATTTAATTGTATAGTTTATCTCTCAATTTCCTCTTATATGAATCTTGATTTTATTTTTTACGATTAAATAATCCTTTCGTCGCCAAATCAAGATGTTTTAAATGCTTATATTCCTCCATCGCAGATATTACATATATTTTTGTTTGCTTATTTGATTTAGATTAACTAGCTTTTTTATTGTCTCATTTGTCTGTCGTTCTCTCCGGCATGCAGGGCATTAACTTGTCTGGCGGGCAGAAACAGCGCATCAGCCTGGCACGCGCCATTTATCAAAATTCCGATATTTACTTGCTTGATGATCCCCTCAGTGCAGTTGATCCTCAAGTGGCTAAGTCTTTATTCACAAATGTTATTGGTCCATCCGGCCTGCTGGCCAACAAGACACGCATCCTGGTAACGCACAGATTGAATGACTTAAATCTGGCCGATAATATCATCACGCTCGACACCTTTCGCTCGGATTCTTTTGACAGTAACCCCCTTGCTGAAGGTTCTCAAGCTGCAGGTTTTAGTGGCGACGGGATGCCCGGGCCAATTTTCGAATCCAGGATTGAAGAGATTGGCACCTACGAAGAGCTTATCAAACGAAGCGGGAAGTTTTCCTCTAATATTCAGACCTATTTGGCAGAAGAAAAGCCAATTAGTAAGTCTGACGAAAGTCGGAGGCTAGGTACGTTTTTACTTGCTTGCTTAGATGCAGCATTTTATTAACTATTAAAGATATTCATTTTGGATGTTCGAGGTTTGTATCTAATCTTATAACTGCTTTTTTAGCATCAGTCATGAAAATCCCCCTCTAAATTCGTGTTTTACGGGCTGAGTTCCTTAGTGAGTAGGCTTTCGAAACTGTCAGTAAATCAGATGCATGAGTTTTATTCACCACGATATAAATAAAGCTGGCGTTTCCATTGAATTTCACACATCATTGCTTTCCCAAAAGTTTTTCTTATTTACGGTGGGCTGCAGTTTCGACCTCGCCTAGATCTTATCAACACTCCCAGCGTATGTCAAACTATGAGAGTGCAGCGTGTAATCTCGACACGTTAACCGCTAAACGACATTGCCACGAGTGCCCTTGGGTCATTGGACAGATGTAAACTTCAAGGAATGTCAGACATTTTTCATGTGTTCGGTTTGTCGATGAAGTAAACTTATATTTGCTATAGCAATCGACGAGTGAGTGGGTTTTCAAGACTACTAGTAATTCACACCTATGAGTTATGTTCACTCTATTTCGTTTAAGGTGATAGAGGACTGGTAGTTGAATTTTTCTACAATGATATGAATAGAGCTAACGTTTCCATTGAATTTCACATAGCCTTGCTTTCTCAAAAGGTGTTCTTATCCAAGCTGCATTGCAGTGTCGACATCGCCTAGGTCTGTTTGATCTCACCAGAAGACAACAGCTAAATCCCATCAACCTTAATGTCGTATTAAGGCTAAACGGCTGTAGTGCAGCGGAATTCAGACGTCTTCTGGCGAGATCAACCTACGAATACCTTCTTCATGCACTTTCCTACGAAATGAAGGTCTACTCAACAATGTTATCTTAGGAGATTCTTCGAAACCCAGTTACTCTTCGTATCTATAATATACGTATGGTTCTACTTCTTGTCAATTGTTTTCTTGCTACACTATAGCTAAGAAAACTATAGCCCGGCAAGTTAGAATTGTATTTTTTACAATGTTGTACCTAGATATTGTTTACTTGGTAAACGTTTTAATCTACCACTGTCCATTAATAGGGAACTTGATCATGTATCGCGTTGTTTGGTTAAAACATGGCTTAAGGAAAGCATTAACAAGTTACACGAAGCAATTATAACCAATGCCAGGCTTAGATACTCCCTTTATGAGGTACTTACTGATACTGATTTCTTTAAGTTACAGAGTGTGACTGACGAGTTAAGAGAGAACACAGATATAATGATTATCCGGAAACATGCTGAGAAACTGGGTAACTTAAGCATTAGAATTAGGCCGAGAAACATTTCACCTAAGATAAGTCGTAGTAATCA